AGTTCTAGTTCTACCTTAGGCATGAAGCCAACTGGGTGACCTTGAGCCACTCACTCTCTCTTTAATCTTAGGAAGGAAGCAGTGCAAATCACTTCTGAAAATCCTAAAGTAGAAACTGCAAGGACTTGTCCAGGCAATGACCAGGAGTCAGCACTGACTTGAAGGGAGGGAAGAAGAGAGGGAGAGGGAGAGAGGGAGCAAGGGAGAGGGAGAGGGAGAGAGAGGGGAGGAAGGGAGAAGAAGGGAGAGGGAGAGGGAGGAGGAGAGGGAGGAGATGGTAAGTAATTCATCCTGAAGTTTGCTTTGTTCAATGAAGTCAAAGTGGAACAATATGTCTTGACAGACAGATCTACCTTGTGAACTGTAGCTACTGCATGTGAAGAAGCCACTGCCTTTTAAAGACTATTGTAGTCCTAAGGTGTACCACAATTGCTATATTAGAAAAATGTACGCCCCCCAAAAAAAGTCAGAGAGCTGGAAAATAATATGCAAATCAACCTAAAGTAAACACTTGCAAAAAAGTGCACATTGAGCAGATCTACATACAAAATTATATTGCCACATCTTGACCAGAAAAACAAAAGTCACCAGCCAGCAATTTGTACAATTTCTGCTTTAGGATATTATTTATTTATTTACTTATAATTAAATTTATATACCGCCCTACTCCCGAAGGATTCAGGGCGGTGAACAGCCAAAAAAATAAAGTATACATAATACAAACATTAAAAACAATTTAAAATACATTAAATACTTAATGTAGAGATTTAAAACACCCCAATTATAAAACCAATTTAAAAGCAATTAAAAAGGGAGGTTAGGCCAGACCAGCCTGCTGGAATAGGAATGTTTTGAGGGCGCGGCTGAAAGTGCGCAGGTCTGGGATCCTCCGTATCTCCGGGGGGAGCTCGTTCCAGATGGCAGGTGCCCCCACAGAGAAGGCTCTCCCCCTGGGGGCCACCAGTTGACATTGTTTGACCGACAGCACTCTGATAAGACCCTCTCTATGGGAGTGTACTGGTCGGTGAGAGGCTATTGGTGGCAGAAGGCGGTCTCGTAGGTACCCCGGTCCAAAGCCATGGAGCACTCTAAAGGTGGTAACCAGAACCTTGAAGCGCACCCAGAAGACCACCGGGAGCCAGTGCAGCTCGCGCAGGAGGAGAGTCACATGGGAGTGCCACATCGCTCCCGTAACCACCCGTGTGGCCGCATTCTGGACCAGTTGGAGCCTCCGGGTGCTCCTCAAGGAGAGCCCCATGTAGAGAGCATTACAGTAGTCCAGGCGGGAAGTGACGAGGGCATGGGTGACTGTGCGTAACGAAAAGACAGCTGTGAGTCCAGGAGGACACCCAAGTTGCGAGCCCTCTCCATGGGGGCCAACGACTCGCCCCCAATAGTCAGTGATGGCACCAACTGACCATATCGGGATGTCGGAAACCACAGCCACTCGGTCTTGGATGGGTTGAGCCTGTTTCTTCCCATCCAGATCCGTACAGCCTCCAGGCACCGGGACATCACTTCAAGGGCATCATTGGGGTGATCCGGGGTGGAGATGTACAGCTGAGTGTCATCAGCGTATTAATCCTTAAATGATACACAAGGTAGCTCAGTTATGCATGGCAGCATGTAAAATCAGACAAAGGATAATTAAGAGCCACTGGACCTGTCTGAGTAGAAATGGCTCAGACTCAGTATCATATGGTTAGGCTCTATGGGGATTTTTAATCAACCAGGTTATGAGTGTCTCAAAAGTGCTTTTTCAAAAGGCAACTGGACTTTCTTAGTTTTTTGTTTTTTTTTTTTGCTTGAAAATATTTCATTTCACATTCAAAAAGCTTCTTGGATAAGAAGCAAAACATTCTGAAGGAAAAATAAAAACACAAGAATGTCCAGTTGCCTTTTGAAAAAGCATTTTTGGGGATATTTGTTGGTTATTCCCTAACTCCTAGTTGTGCTAATGTCTTGTTGTATACATGTCTTGTCAGTTATTATATTATACTCTTCACAGGTTTGACAGGGATCTATAAGTGAAGCTTATAACCTTCAAATAATTTCTCCATATTGTTATTTTTTTATTTCATCAACATTTATTTGAATTTTATGCTACCATTTTAAACTTTATACTATCCAGATTGTAATACATTTCCTCTTTTGCCACAGATATGTAACGTTGAGCAAGCATCTTAGCATTCTTTTTGATATTGCTTTGGATATTGGCATACCCTTTTCCTTTGCGTTGGTTAATGATTACAATAAAAAAAAAACATTTCAGAATTGAACATTGCATAATAGCAGGAAGATGCACAAAGCTTCACAAAGATGCATAGTAAACAGTTTAAAAAGTAATTACAAAAAAGAATATGAAGAAATGACTTCCTTTCTGTTTTAATCAGTGATTGAATTTGCAATCATTAATAAATATAATTGTTGTTATTTTTCTAATCAACTAAATCAAAAATCCCCTAGCTTTTAGAGGATTTGCTCCAAACAAGCGCAAACTTTATAGGTTGCAAGATTTTTTTTCCTTTAAAAGGATCTAAACTCTCTTAATCGAATATTTCTGGACTTATTTAGATCAAGTAAGCTGCTTTAACCCATAACCACAGATATGCAGTCATAGTGACTGCAACAGTTTTCCAAAATGTTCAGAACACTCCTATTTTTAGAAAAGGACCATTCCGGATGTGAATAGCTTTTGTTTTCCCACTAATAAGAGTGTATGCAGCATTGTGCTTGCATCACTTATTTGGTGTTTTCTGTAGCAGCATTTGAATTTGAGTTTCGGTCATTTTGACTGCAGAGCTTTGTTAACATATTTATATATATATATAATGCCGAGGTCAAGTTTTCCACCAAAAAGAGTGTGATTTGGTAATCCAAACTTCGAAGAAACTGTTCTAAAATGGTATGGAGAAACAGAGACTGAACTGAATGAAGTGGGATTGGATTGTGATGAAAATTTTGTAATGGACAATGAGGAACCTGCCACTGCCACCATTTCTGACATCAGCAATGCTGAAGCTCCCAATGAAATTGATGACAAGGTACAATCTATGTCGTGCAATAATTTATATAGCAAGGACAGTTTCAAATGGTCTTCTGCACCTTTTGAAAACAATAGATCCAGAACAGAATAATCACAATATTGTTGTGCAATTATCTGGACTACGGCCAGCAGCTAGAAATCTCGGAAATTCACCTACTTCCCTAGAGATTTGGAAATCATTATTTTCTAAAGAAATTATTAGCACCATCATTCAGTGGACCAATGTAAAAATTATAGAAGAAAGATTGAAGTTCAAGGATGGAGAAACAAAAAGTGACCTGCACGATGTGGATTTGATAGAGATCAATACATTTTTTGGTTTGCTTTATACATCAGTTTTTAGATCCAATCATGAAAACATTGAATGTCTTTTTGCTACTGAACAAAAAGTAGCTCAGTAGTTCAGCTACTAAGCTCAGCTACTGAGTAGCTCAGCTATTGAGCTCAGCTACTGAGTAGCTCAGCTACTGAGCTACTTTTTTCTTTTTGCTACATTATGACCTCATGTCTGTAATAGCGTAGCCAAAATAGTACGTCTGTGGTTAAGGGTTAAGTGCTTTGTCTGGGTTACTTTTTTCTAGCTAATTTATAAGTGAACTACATAATATTCTCTAAAAATTAGTACTGCTTTAAGAGTAGTAATCCCAGTGATATAAAACTGATGACTTTTAGGTGCTCTTTTTTGTAGGATTACAAGGAGTGGTGCTTTTTATTTTTCCTGCAAATAATGGTGTTTGAAGTTAATATATGGCATAGACTAATGTCTCAATTGCTTCAATATAATAGCTCTTCCACTGTTGCTAAATTAATGAACTTCTTAGTTCAGGCATTCGTGGGTTCTTCTTTTTTCACTGAGAATAATCAAGAAAGAAATATATAAAGAAATTATTTATGCATAGATGAAATATTGGAAATTAGATATATACCTTCCCTGAAACAAACCAATTTGCATAAATATCATATATTCTGTTTTTTATGGGTGTTTGCTACTTTGGGCGTAGTTATTATAATTTAGATAGAAATTCCCTGAGTTTTTAAAAAGAAAGACTGATAACTGATCTAAAAAACCTGCATCAATGTACTGCTATATCATGGTTGACATGTAACAGAAGAAGTCCTGAAGATGTTAGAGTGACATATCAAATATCTGGTTCAGAGTTAAAACTTTCCCACACAAATCAATAAAAATGCTGTATATAAAAAACCAGTACACCAGAGGGAAAGAGTCTAGCTCAGCCATTATGTTCTACTACACTTTCCTTTATTGAGATTGATTAAAAGAAAAAACATTGGGGAAATTAAGTTTTTCCTTCCACATCTTTTGCCTGATTTTGCTAGATGTGCAGAACCACACTAAAAGAGTGAGTAAATGGATACCATCAAGGGACAAGATTTATCAGTGTGTACATAAAGCGAATCAGAAGCTACCCTGGCAAATCATTAACTGCCTAGCATTGCACATTACAGATAATTAGATCTAAAAATCTTTTTCTATAGAAGCCTTTTTGATAAAGCAAAATTATCAGGATGATATGGGCTAGGAAGTTCAGTGTCAATTTTAATCTAATTTTCCTATCAAAAATAGTGTGAACTTTATCATCAAAAGTCTTGTTTATTATCCTTTCTTTCTCACTCCCTTCAATCTATCCATTCCTCCTCCTCCTCCTCCTCCTCCTCCTCCTCCTCCTCCTCCTCCTCCTCGTCTTTCTTTAGTTGTTATCTAAATGGTCTTGTCTGGAGTAACAATAACATAATAACATAAGAACTTTTCGTATTTCTTAATTTATATCTGGTGTGTCATATTGCCCTAACTTGCATTATACGGCCTAATAAGTAGATGCTGCATGTACTGCATAGTGATGAATTCATATCATTTTATTTTAAATTTTAATTAGTAGCTAATTTGAAAAATAATCATTGTTCATTTTTTCCAGTAAATGTTCCATAATGAATATCACTCTGGGCTCGTAGCGAATACCATTGCAAGTGAGGCGCCTATATAAAGGTTTCATGAAAGGTAGAGTGATGATGATACTGGTCATCATGATTAGCTATATTCTACCATTTTACAGCCATTATGTAAATTTTATCTTTCTTGCATTTTTTTTAAATTGTATGCTTCAGTTGTTTTTCAACATTTCATTCCATATTCTGAAAATCCATAACATCTAAAATCAATATTTTAAGAAAACACCCATTTCATCATTTCAAACACACAATGAAATTTGGTAAGATAAAACAACTGAGAATACTTGATCTTTAAGAGTAGGGATTCCTCATAAGTATCTTGACACAGAGATTGATCTCAAGGAGGATATAGGTGAATCTTATTTGGTAATTCTTAGATGGCAAATATTTTGAATTGAATCCAGAAATCACCATCATCCAGTGCTGCCAATATAGAACTGTGGAACTACAGCAGTGATTCTCAACTAGAAACCTGTCAGAGTTTGTTGCAGAAATCAAAACCAGAAAGCACACACAGATAACTGATTCAGCAGGATTCATTAACTTCCCTTTATATACAATATAATATATGAAGATAAATATACAATATCAATGGCTGATTATTCCAATGTGGTGGAGAGGAGAGATTGTAAGTACAAACACAGGCAGAGTACAGCAGAGATAAGTTTTAGTTTCGGTCAGCAGACTAGCTAGTTTTCAGTTTTTGCACAGATTTAGAGCTGAGCTACGCCCAGGCTCCAAAGCTGTTTCAGTTTCCAAACAGTTCCCATTGGCTGATCTGTTGTCATGCCTATTCATTGGCTGACCTTGTTACTATGCCCTATTCCAGTTCATGAATATTCTGACAAGACCATATGATATCTCAAGGAAGATATAGGTGAAAATCATGTAACAGAAAAGCCATGGAACGTGCCAAGGGAACCACAGAAAAGCAAAATGTCTTATAACAATAACACTGTCTGGTTGATTTCAGAAAGTACACCGGTTACAATCCTATGACAATTTCTGGCAATGAGACCTGAACAGGAGGAATAAAACAAGTTTGGAAAGCGTCCATGAACAAAAATAAGATTGAGAAACACTGAAATATAGCACAATGATTTATTTGTTCATTTATTAATTTTACTAGAAGATTTATATAGGCAACTAGCTTGTGTAATTATATCAGCCTTACCAATAGACCGGACAGGAAACATGACCAGATATGCCAATTTTATTTTATTGTAAAACTACATTAATAAAATGTTGCAAATCTAATATTACAATTCTCCTTCCATCTCCTTTAGAGTCTAAGAAACAGGTGAGGGTCCTTTTGAGGCTCTTCCTGTACCCACTATCCATCTGCAGGCTATGTTGTCTCTTATCTGACTGTTACCTAGACAGCATCTCTTCACAGCACCTCCCAAGGTATTTCCACCATACTATTAAAAAACTATGGGCTGCTTATATCAAATAAAAACTAACTAAACAAACAAACAAAAAAGAATGATTACAGATAAAAAAATAAATCATAGATTATTTTTTTTTCTAAACCCAAAATATATAGTTCACATATCATACAACATTCAGACAAGGTTAAGCAGATACCCATTCTGCCACTCAGGAGGCATTTGACTCCCAGCCCAATCCCATGGAGAAAAGCAAATTTTCAGAAACTAATAGAGTCAGAGCATTGGTGTAGTTACAATAAGGGTATAAACAGCTAGATTCTGCACTAAGATAAGGAAGATAATTATCTGAGAATAATTATCTCAAGAATCATCTTGAGAGACAGCTGCAATAATCATTCTAGAAGTAAGAAATTCATGCATAAGTGCAGAATTTTCTAGATAGAGTTAAAAATGATGAACCATCCAAAGTTAAGGAAAAAGAAGGGATGAAAATGTAACAAACATCCTGGTTGCTGCAGCCATATATGCTTCCATGAGGACCCACCCTTAAACATAAACTTTAAACACAAACTTGTTCCTTTTCAGAGGAAATACAATCTCATTGAATAATGGTTCTGATTTATTATCCAGACCAGCAAATTTTTAAATTCAATCTCAAATGCATTACTTTTTAACTTCTTCCACTGCTAGCCTATTATTTCTTCCAAATTCAGAAATTTACTGAGAAGTTTAATAAGGTGTTATTTGTATTATTATTATTATTGGTTAATCTTTAGTGAGATTCACAGCCTTTGTGGCTGGTTAATAGCTCAGCAGCTCGAGTTCTAACCAAGGACCTAGGAATTGTTAAGGTATCGTCGGAGGATGTAAGCTGTTCCGAGTAAGGTGATTTTTTGTAGAGTCAAAATGTTCAAGTCTGGCAGATTTAGAATTTCTAAATAGCGGGGTAGCCCTTTGGGTATTGCTCCAAGGGCTCCAATTACAATGGGGACAACACACGATTTATTTTTCCACAGTCGCTCAACTTCAATTTGCAAGTCCTGGTACTTTGTGATTTTTTCTTGCTGCTTATCTTCAATCCGTGCATCATCAGGTATTGCAATGTCAATGAACCATACTTTTTTCTTTTCAACTATTGTTATGTCAGGTGTGTTGTGGACCAAGTGCCTGTCAGTCTGAATCCTAAAGTCCCACAAGATCTTGAGTTTCTCATTCTCTAAAACTTTCTCAACCTGATGTTCCCAGTGGTTTTTGCTGTACTCAAATCCAAACTTCTGGCACAATTTCCAGTGAATTATCTTAGCAACACGGTCATGGCGTTGTAGGTAGTCAGTTTGTGAAATTTTGCTACACCCACTGATCAGGTGGTCGACTGTCTCATCTTTCTCATTACAGAGGCGGCATTTGCTGTTGGTGGTAACATGTTGAATTTTTGCCTTCATGCAGTTTGTGGCTAGGGCTTGTTCTTGAGCTGCCAAAATAAAGCTTTATGTTTCTTTTTTCAGTACTCCTGATCTTAACCAGTTCCAAGTTAGTTTCTGGTCAGCTTTGCCTTCAATACTTTTCAAGTATTGGCCATGCAGAGCTTTATGTTTCCAATTTTCAGCTCGCTCTCAATTACTTCTTTCTTATATTCTGCTTTTGTTTTAGTTGTCTTTAAAAGGCCTCCTTTATTTACTTCCTTAATCATTGGTTCTTCACTTTTCTGGATGTAATCATTCAAGCTGCGTTTTTCTTCTTCCACAGTCTGCTTTACTTGTAGGAGTCCTCGACCACCCTCTGCTCTTGGTAAATATAATCGGTCAACATCACTTTTAGGGTGCAAGGCATGATTCATTGTCATAAGCTTCCTTGTTTTTCTGTCCAAATTGTCTAACTCCATCTCGGTCCAGTCAAATATTCCTGCAGAGTATCTAATCACAGGTATAGCCCAGGTATTTATGACTTTTATGATGTTTCCTCCACTCAGTTTGGACATTAATATTTTACGAATTCGCTGAATGTACTTGGCTGAAGTTAATTCCTTGACTTTATTATGCATTAAGTCAGAGGCTTCTAAAATCCCCAAGTACTTGTAGCCTTCTTCTGATTTTACTGCCTTTATTATTTCTTCATTCTCTAGTTCTATTCCATCCTCTTCTATGATCTTGCCTGCTTTGGTTGCTATTGCTGCACATTTGTCAATTCCAAACTGCATACCAATGTCTTGGCTGAATTCTTTTGTGTTTTCAATTAATAAATTCACTTCAGCTTTTGTTTTACCAAACAGCTTCAAATCATCCATGTACATCAAGTGCGAGATTTTCAGTCCTTTCTTTGCAAGTTCGTATCCACAGTTCATCTTCTTCAAAATTATTGTCAGTGGTAGCATTGAGAGTATAAAAAGTAGGGGTGAAAGGAAATCGCCCTGGAAAATGCCTCGTTTAATTTCAACTTCACCCAGTTCTTCTTCATTAGCCATAAGTTTCATTTTCCAGAGGTTCATTGAAGATTCCATGAATTTTTGTATGTTGCTGCTGATGCATTATTATTATTATTATTATTATTATTATTATTATTATTATTATTCAAAATAATAGAAAATGAAGAATCTAAAATGCTCTGGGGCTTTTAGAATTCAAACAGACAAGCACCTATCATATAACACCCCATGCTTAGCAATTGTCAATAAGAAAGGCAAAAAAGTTTGAATAGTGGACATGGCAATACCAAGAAAAAGCCAAAAAGAAATGAAAGACCTGGAGAAGACGACAAAAAAATGAAGACTTGCAAATAGAACAAAAAGCAAATATAGTACCAATAACAAAAGATGCCTTGAGTGCAATCCCAAAACATCTGCAGACTCACTTGAAGACCTTTGACATGGACAAAATCACCATTAGTCAATTGCAAAAGATAGTTTTACAGGAACATCTTACATCCTGCAATGATAACTTCAACACCATCAAATATCAAAGTCTGCCTATCCTTGGGAAGAATTCAACACGTGGATAAAAATACCAAATCCAATTTGAACATCTTGCTGACTAGGCAACCAGCCCTAAAAAGATAATATTTTCCATATTTTGGGGACACCAGTGAAACCTTCCAGAGCAGTTATTACAGTATTCAATATATGAGAAAAAACTTTTTCACAGGCCAAACATCAAACTATTTTGTTTTCCTGCAAGGGAAGATTGGAACTTCTGTGGTACTTTGTCCTTTCAACTCTGCCTAACCAGACCATCAAATTAAAAACCTATACATTCAAGCTAAAACAAATGGGATCATAGGTACGTATTCTTATTTATCTTGAGTTTTCTTCATTTTAAGCAGCAGCTGAACAATATACCCCAAAGTTAGTGAAAGTTAGGTCATTATTTACAATACAACACAATATTGCATCTTCCAGCTGTGCTGTGAGGATTTAAAATTCTGCATCAGTACTCTGATTGAGGTTTTGGAGATAAAGGAACATAGATAAGAAGAAATAAAGTGGTAACAATTGTTGAATTTTTCCTCCCATTATGCTATGAGAATATATGTTTTGGCTCTAAATATAAAATATACACATTGTTTTCATTCGCTATTCCAATGACTGTGGAGAATTTCAAAGCCAAAATTTGATTTATTTTAACACATATCTATAGACATTACTAGCAAGTCTATGGATTCATAGGAAACTGCCTTATAATAAGTGATTTATCTAGATCAAGATGACTGACAGGGGCCTCTACATAGATCTTTCAGAAGTCTGGTTAGTCATTGATTTTAGCATTTTCTGTATAGGTTCAATCACAGCTACACAGCTTTTTTTTTTTTTAAAGCACCCTTCCTGGAATCTTTGGTTGTCTTGGCTAGGGATTCAGGGAGATGGAATTATAACACAATCAGAAGATATCAGTTTATGATAATCTGCTTTAAGTAACTCTTAAAAAATTAAGCTTTAGTTTTTTCTGACTATAAATCATCCTACTCTGCACTGGATTACAAGACTTGTTTTCTGCATCTTTCATTTCAGTGTATTTAAGGATGGCTCCATCTACTTTCTTTCTGTTTCATATTAAAAGATGCAGAGTAGAAATAATTTACAGGGATTCATTATGAGTGATATCAAGGAGGAGGAGGAGGAGGAGGAGGCAGAGGAGGATATTTTGAAAAAAAAACAAAGGCTGGTAAAGGTCATGATTACAGAATGTGATTGAAAGAGGTAATGTGATGAAAGATTGGGAAAATGAGAGTACTTCTCACACATTGGGGTTATTTTTAATATGAGTGGCAACTGCTTAATAGATTCATATCATAATTTTAGATATCTGCATGAGCACCTCCTTAACTGCATCTGATCTGGAAAAAATAGTGTGGGATTCAACCTGGTTAGTACTCTCATAGAAACTGTCAAGAATACAAGGGCTTTAGAAATTAGTGGGAAGTGAAATCAAATAAATGAATAAATAAATAACTCCTAAAGAAGGCAGTGGCAAATTACTGTTATACTATTGATAAGAAAATAACATGAACAGGTCCCTGAAATCATATGGAATTGTGCTCAGTGCAAATAAGATTTTAAATTACTTTATTCCTTTCCACACAGGTGAGTAAGTAGTATTGTGCCCCACCCCCCCAGACTGTATAATCTGATATAGTGTAATATGGAAAATATCATTTCTAAATGTGTTTTTCTTGGTTCATTTTTTCTATGACTTTTGGAACTGTTGAATATCTATAAGTCCCGAATTCTATATAACTTTCCAACTTTATTTAAAATTTTCCTTCCAATTGAAACAAAGGTAAATTCTTCCTGTAACATTATATATGTAATATATTCCTTTATCCTTCTGTGCATGAAGCACAAAAAGTTCTAAAAAGAGGGAGTTATGGGGAGGGGGAGGCTTACATAATCAAACAATGATCAAAAGTTCTCCCATGAAACCTATGCTTTCTGTTTTATGTCGATAGAATAGTAGAATGCCTATGATAGCTGCATAAAAATGAGATGGCTTTTCAGAAGAGTGAAAACCATTTTTAGTAGAAATCAGTCTCTTACAGTCAGCTGGAAAATCAACTTTTTATTTTTAGTTATTTCTGTTTATTAGCTTGTTTACTGGTTGGCTTAGTTACACCCTTTGTATCATTTTGCCTTCCAACCATCACATCCCTGTAGCTTTATTGCACATTCCTAATAAGTTCCATACATCCTTCCTGCAAAATTACTTCTGCTAAATTAGACAGTTTAATCAAACATGATTCCCTGGAGATTTATGAAAGAAAGAAAAAAAAGAATGGCAAAATCATCCATATGATTATTTTTTTCCAATAATAGTCCATTTAGTTTAGAAACTTCCCATAAAAATGAGTAGGCAAAGAATGTGTCAAATAGCCTGACAGCGCTAATACTTAGTTAGGCATGCCTTAACTTGGAGGAGAGTGGAGTATATGAACATTTGTAAAAGAAGACAGCTGCATTGAACATGGACATAAAAACAAAAGGAAAGTTGATGAATCATGGAAAAGAAAAATAACTCAATATCCACAATAAAGCAATCCCTACTGAGACCATCCAAAGTGGCACCAAAGTTCAGTTTTCCAAAACCTCTCCCCCCAAAAAATCAGGCAACATGGATTACAAGGATGGATTCCTGTATTCACAGAAATACAAGTAATCCTTGAGTTACGAATGTAATGAACCCTGCCCGTTCCATTTGTGGGAGTGAATCTCTTATCTTGAATGAGATCACTCCCTGCTTTTCTCCACGCGTTTGATAATCAAATGCACGGTTCATTAAGTGCACACGAGGTATCTTGGGATAGAGAAGGCCATGGAGGGAGGGGGAGTCCAGTGATGGAATAGGCCATCTGCTTAAGACAACCCAAGGCCTCACCCAACCCACAGATACCTCGTTATCCCTCTCCTAGGGTCCCCATAATTGCTTCCCTCCCCATCCTGCAACACTGGGTGACTTACCTTATTAAGATCTGTCTCCTCTCAAGCCTGTTTCTTTGCTTTCTTCCTCTTTTTTGTCAGGAAAGGGCTTGACAAGGCCTCTGGCGACAAAAAAAAAAAGGAGGCCTAGGGGCCCATGCATGTCCTTCTGGGCCTCCTTTCTCACTGGAGATCTGCTTGACGAGGCTTCTAGGGATGAAAAAGGCGGCCCGGAAGCCTGCACATGGCCTTCTGGGCATCCTTTCTCACTGGAGATTCTCTTGATGAGGCCTCTGGTACTGAAAAAGGATCTCCATCAAGTGGATCTCCAATGAGAAAAGAGACTCAGAAGGATGCAAACAGGCTTCCGGCCCTCCGTTCTCATTGCAAAGCACTTGGGATTGCATCCCTGTAAACTTCAGCAAAAAGCCTTTGCTGGTAGGAACAGAGCTTTGAAGGGAGATGTCTGCCCCTCTCAAGCTCTGCTGATACCAACAAAGGCTTTTTTCAAAGGGCTACCAAAGCCTACAGGAAAGCAATCTCCCTGTAGGTTTTGGTAAGGAAATGGCAAACGGAGAGAAGGTCTGAAGGACCAAAGCCTTACCTTTGTTTGCAAATGTCCATGTCTCAATTAACAGAGAATAGAGGCTTAAAGTGTGAGATCATGGTGAGATCAGTAGCACGAAATCTAGCGCTATTAATCTCACATGATCTTGTGGTATGTTAGGCCTCTGTTCTCTGCGAATGCACCAAAAGCCTGAAGCAATGAAGCAGGCAAAGAAACCGAGACAGAGAGGAGATCTTTGCAAAATAATTTCAGGACTTTGTTTATGAACACTAGGGAGCAGTTATTGTGTAATTCGAACGTTTGCTAAGGGAACACTCATAATCTGGGGATTATCTCTAAAGGAAACACAAATGTCTGATTCTGATGTAGCTTCACCAATGGTCAAAGGAAGTTTTATGACTTAACAGCTCACGTGTTATCAGAACCCTGGGGAAGAATCTTCAGCTATCAAAGACTAATGCTTTCAGGATTTTAATTGTGGTGTCATGGCTGAAATATCTAATTTTGAGCTTTTCTAACTTCTTTTCCCTCCCCTACTTTGTATAACCCCCTTTTTTCCCCAGTGAAGCATTATAAAGAAGCTGAAAGCTTGCAGCAATTCAGCATTCGGATTTTCTGGGTAGACATGTCATCCATCATCTGGGAAAGTGGTAAACCTGGTAAATTTCTTCAGCTTTTTTGTTTGTTTTTATTTGCATACCTTATCACACTGGTATGTGATGGGAGACCTCCAGGAAACAAACTACTGTACTTCATTTTCCATTCATAAATTCCCCAAAGATCCCCCAAATACCATTTTAACCCAATGTATATATCTTTGGGTTGTAAAGGATAAAGTATGATCAATTATTGTTAAGTGGAGCCTTGGTGGCAAAGTGATTAGAATGCAGTGTTGCAGGCAACCTCTGCCCACTACTAGGAGTTCAATCCTGACCAGCTCGAGGTTGACTCAGCCTTTCATCTTTCCAAGGTCAGTAAAATGAGGATCCCAGATTGTTGGGGAAAATATGCTGACATTTGTAAACCCCTTAGAGAGTGCTGTAAAGCACTGTGGAGCAGGATATAAGTCTAAGTGCTATTGCCATTATTCTGGGATACAGAGTATTCCAACTCCTAAACCATTGCCAGCCTTTTATCTCACAAGTTCCTTTGTGTGAGTGGAAAGGAGAGCTGGACTTCTAGGTCACAAACTTCACCTATCCTAAAATCCCAATACATTGTCCAAATTCAGCCATGGAAAGTCCCCCATCTCTTCTCTTTCTCAGTGTGCTGGAGAACTGCCTGGAGTCAAAGATCCAGGGATGATCCACTACATAACAACAAGGTTGCCTTAAAGTTAATGCTTGATATTTTTCGAATGAAAAGAGTTTCACTGCCCTCTTTCAACTGATTTTAAAATGATAATTGTGCAAATAATTAGCATATTTAAGGGACAACAGTAGGATGAGATTCTTTTCTTTTGAAACTAAAATAATGCGGCAAAGAAGCAGCTGAAAGCTAACAAAGGCCTGCACAGTGGGAGGTTTGTACCAGCAAACAGCAATTCACACCTGTTAATTACTGCAAACAGGCTTACAGACTGAATTTGTCATGACATTTATCTATTGTTTATAGGCAATCATGATCACCTAAGTTCTTCCCATAATGATCAGACCATCACCAGACTTCAAGCAAATTAGTTGTCTTGTACAAGTCAATAAATTCCGAATGACATTTATGAGGAAAAAAACAACTTCCGTGGAACATCTCCTGCTCAGTGAAAACAAGAGATTGAGTACTCAGTAGATGCATGAGAGACATGAAAAAAGCCAATTGGCCACACAGATAAACATTCAGCACAAGCAAACTAACAATATCACACAGCAGTTATTGCATGTGGGAGGGACAAGTAGGGAAGGAAATGTTCCTCTGCCACTGCTGTTGATGGTGTGCCAACATCTGAACATCATTATTTTATTTATGTATTTATCGCCGCCCCCCCAAAGATGAGAAATATTTTGCTTTCAGGATAATGTAGTAGACTGTAAGATTTTCATGGGTATTTTTGTAAATAATCCATAGCAAAACACTCCTTATGACCAACAGAGAATTGATATCATGTTTGCTGTTGTCTTAGCCATAAATTCAAAATCTGAACCTGACTCACAGGATGTTTCTTAAGGGGTGGGGTAAGACTGGAAAAAAAAATCTCAACACAAATACACATACATCTATTACTGCCCTAACACATTACAATATATATTTTAAAAAGTTACACATTGTATATCATGCATTAATTGGTACTGGAAATGTAATGTTTAATAATCTGTACAAGGCCATCTGAATATTAAATTAAACGAATCTCAATCAAATTTTCATTGAAGTGTTTTATTTTCTCATGTAGTTTTTCCAGTTGCTGAAGTAGACTATATTTTCCAGGTTTTAAAGAAGATTATGATTTGGAATGTAAAAGGATTAAATGGTAAATAGCATGGAATTAATGAAAGAAAAATAGATGCAACTTGTTGAGTATCTGTGAAATGAAATGAAAGGGGAATGCTACAACAAAATGATTCTGAATGAAGATAGTTGGTCTTATGGAATGGAGTTGATGTAGAGTCATTTCATTTTGTTGTCAAAAGAAATCTTAGCACCTTTAAGGTGGTTGAATTCTTGAGTTCTCATCCCAAATAAGCCACTTCTCTAAAGATCTGCACAGTCAACAATTTTTTTCTGCTAGCATTATAAACCATTTAGTAGATGTGGACAAAACTGGGTTTCTTGGTACACTTGGTGGAGAAATAGACTGGCAGAATTGAAAGTATCACCTAGCAGGAGGATGAAATGAGGAAGTGTCCCCAGTCTTTCTTTTATTCAGTAATCCTAAACAGGAATGAAGTGATATATATCACTTCATTTGTGTGTGTGTGTGTGTGTGTGTGTGTGTGTGTGTGTGTGTGTGTGTATCATCACTTCACTTCTTATGTATATTTACAACAAGAACAAAAATGATTCCCCCCTCAAGTTTGCAAATGGACAGGAGAAATGTTTTTAATTATTCACAGCTACAAATATAAAACTGTACTAAACAAATTGGAACCCATTATTAATAAATAAAAAGCAAGCAGCCTTTTTAGTATCTACTTCTGTTACTAGGTTTTGCCACCTGCTTTTATTCTGCTCAGAGCAAATATGATACCATACTGTTTGATGCAGTCACATTGAAAAACTATCAATATATGTCTTATCCATGAAAGGAGCATACTGTATATCCAGCCTTAGTTTATTAGGGTACATATTATTACATCATATTGTGTTGAATTGTCTCAAGGCAGTTTACAAGAATTAAAACACGTATTTGATTCTATGGTCTCTGATTAATGATTGTCTTTTGTTATTTGTTGGTATTATTTTTTTTTTAAATACTTTATTGAATTTTCCAATTTTTAAAAAGACAATGTACAATCACAATCTTGATCCGAGGTGCAATGTTTACACATTTCATAGATCAAACATTAAGTGAATTTCATCCATAGCTATACAATATACAGTTCTATACAATTCTCTACATTTCTATACAATTAAGTCCATTTCGGGTGTCTAACAAATCGTAGCCTATTTTCATATTTTTATCCTATTCTTTAACCAGTTATACCAAATTCCCCATACTTCATAGTACTTGAAGTTCTCTTCATTTTTTAGCTCGCTCGTCAATTTAGCCATCTCTGCGCACTTAGAATTTTATTTATTAATGCTTCTTCAGAGGGGGTAGAGTTGGATTTCCAGAGTTTCGCGAAGGCTAATCTAGCCGCAGTAATAATTTGAATTGCCAATTGGGTTTTATTGTTGTCGAGACCGTCTTCAATCATACCTAGGAGGAAGGATTCCGGGGCCAGTGCTATCTCTTGTCCCATTATTTCCGTGAGCCAGAGTCGGATCTTTAACCAAAACTTTTTGGTCTCAGGGCAAGTCCACCACAGATGGTAAAAGGTGCCGACCGTCTTTCCACATTTCCAACATAAAGCAGAGGAATTTGGAAATATTTTGGCCAGCCTGTCCGGGGCTAGGTACCATCTATGCAGCATTTTGTAGTGATATTCCCTGAATGTTACCGATTTCGTTATTTTGAGATTTCTGTTCCAAGCTATCTCCCAATCATTGAAATTTAGGCCATATCCTGTTGGTATTATTTATCTTTGTTTTAGTCTTTGGTTTATTGCAGACTCCTAAAAGTTGTATTACTTGAGTTGGATAGCCATATAAATATTTTACATATATAACAATAAACCAATTAAATAAAAATGTCATGAAGCATTGTCCTTTCAAATCCACTTCCACCACCACAATTAATATATTTTTTAAAAAATCTTCACATAAAAGAGTTTCTAACAATAAGACAAAATCCAGAGTGACCAGAAACCATTGTTAGCACCCTATTGCTTCTTCAAAGAGAACTCCTTTTAGCATCTGAAAAGCCAAACCTCAGAAGAGAGGTTCTTTCACAATGTTGGAGCAATGAAAAAAAAAATACTGTGGCTTTTAGCAAATCTGTGCAGATTTGCTTATAAGCTCTCTCATACAGTGTGGCTCTAAACTGCATCTCCCTGGAAGACCTCGTAGGATGGGCTAATCCAGTAGGGAGACATTGTCCTGCAGGTATGAGGGGCAACTGAGCTCTTTAGTCTTCATAAGGTACTATAAATAGATACTGTAGATACCAGCAGTTTAAATTGGATTTGGTAACCTTCTGGAACCTAATGTGCTATCCTCACCTCAGTGTTACACTGCTGAGTTGTTTAATATCTACTAGCAGCTTTGCTGTTGCATTTCAAACAAGTTGTACTTTCTGAACTCACTTAAAAGGCAGCCCTTTTAATGTCGGTACCATATAAGGAGAATCTGTACAAAATGTTCTACAGGTGGCACCTCCCACCGGCCAGACTGCAAGAATGTTTCCCAACACCCCTCCAACATGCTGGAAATGTAAACTTTATAAAGGAACCTACTATCACATGTGGTGGATACACATGTGCCCAAAAACAAAAAAATACTGGCAAATGATCAGAACACAAGTAGAAGAAATCACACAACGAAGATTAGAAATGAGGCTGGAAACCTTTCTACTAGGTATAATAAATTGACAATATGAAAAGGAAATAAAATACTTAATCATTCATATAACAACAGCAGCACGAATAATTTTTGCACAAAATTGGAAGAGTAGTGACACACCAACAGAAGATAGAGTAATTAGTAAAATCATGGAATGTGCAGAAATGGACAGACTCACAAAGGAACTACAAGATAAAGAAAAACACGACTACTATCTAGTATGGGAAAAGTGGTACACTTGGTTAGAAAATAGAAAAAGGAAAAAAGAATAGGGAGCAACTGGAGTTACACAAACAGGAACATAAATCACTAACATAAGTTAACAGTGAACCATAAAGATAGATAGATGAGTAAGACCAAACAAGGAAGAGTCAAAACACAAATAAGAACATGTATTACAGTTGCAATACCTTTGACAAAATGTATACTCGAACTCTTTGTTTACATGTTTTGTATGTTTTATTGTTACTCGTTTTGTCTTGTTTGTACTTTTAAACAAATATTTTTTTTTTTTTAAAAAAAGGCAGCCCTATGTAGAATGCATGTCAGTGATCTAGTCTTAGGGTGAGGAGGACTTGAATTTCTGTTGTAAGGAGTTCCCAGTTCAAGACGACCTGAAACCTGACCTGACCTACATTTAGAACTGAAGTTGGAATTAGTAAAGGACCATATTGATTAACTACAAACAATATATCTAGGGCTCAGTTTGAACTGCTTTTTCGTATCCCTTGATTCAGAACATTGCAACTCTAACCTCATTTGAAATAGGGATATACAATTGAAAATCTTAAGCCTATTGATGATACCTCACCCACCTCCTCTATGATATGAATCATAACCACCTTTCAACTCTCAAAACGACTCTAGCTGAAGCCATATTTTTCTTGCTTCATTTCTTAGTTGTCATTTTTATGGGAGGGAGGGGGGCTTATGGAATGTAGAATGTTTTCCTCCAAGGTGCCAGACATAACAATAATAAGGCTCCTCAGAACCAAGGTCAGATCAGCATGCCCTAACAATGGCAGGAGGGAATGCTGAGAAGTTCATCACTAGCTTGGTTGGCTAACGTGACCTGTGACACAAGGGGTGTGGACAGTATCTGTTCTTTAATTTTACAAAAAAACATGGGAATTATTCAATGTTGGTTTCACCTGTGACCGTGATGATATGATGTACCCAATAAACAGGATTTTTAAGGCCTCTGAGGTCAAGGCCTCAGAGTCTTGACTTGGTAGGGAGTATTACTTGGAACCATGACACACCTTCTTCCACAAAAAAGGAGACCGAATAGATGATGTATTTCAGTGCCTTCAAGGAAAATGACATCGCTCCTTTAACCAATGAGCCATTTATATGATACAATCACAAAAATAATCTGAATTGAATTGTATATACTTCAATTATCTTCTCAAAAGAGCCGTACTGATTCCATTCCAATCATAATGGAAGCTGTGATACCAAGAGCCCTATCCACTTCCTAGAATCCTCTATGATTTCAAAAGATATTATCCCAGTCATTTGCAAGGCTGTTTATTTGATTTGTGAAATACAATAACTACTGAAATGAAAACTGTCTAACATTTCTACTTAAACCAGTTCCTTTTGAAACTACTTCTCACAGTGTATTTCTTCATTATATATGTAGACATTTCTTTTTCTTGGTCCTTTGAAATTCTCCCAGGGGTGAAATCTACTTACCTTCTTTACCAGTTTGGAAGCGCATGCGTCCCGCGCGTTCTCGCTTTGCTCATGTGCGTGTGCAGACCTGTGCATGCGCAAAACCTTCTGCACATGCGCAGAGGTAAAAAACACATAACTTCCTAGTTAAAACCAGGAAGTAATGACACCCGGGTTGGTGGGTGGATTGCCAAACCACCAGACAAGATTGCTACTGGACCTACCGGCAATCCGGTCTGATCCGGGAGCATTTCACCCCTGAATTTCCCCCTATTTTATCTAGAGTGTTATTTGCATTCATTGTAAAGGTTATTCAAGAACAAATACTGAGTTAATTTTAAAAATTCAGAAGCATTAATAGCCCTTGAGTTAGCTTAAAAATACACAGAATTCATTTTGTTCTCAGGTATGTTTATTTTCAATTAAAAAGTGGCCTGGTTTGGTTTAGCTGTACCTGTCCTTATGCCAGCATTGTATGCTGTTCCCAGGCTAGAAAAACTTTAAGTAGATTCCCCTCCAACATCTTATTGACAAATTAAGATTGAAATATTTGTGTCACTTACACAAGGCAAACACA